GTTTATGCTTCCATATAAATCTTAGGATGATTTTTTTCCAATTCTGTGAAAAATGTCATGGGGATTTTGATTGGCATTGCATTGAATCTATAAATGACTTTTGGTAGGATGATCATTTTCACAATATTAATTCTTCTAATCCATGAGCATGGGAGGTCCTTCCATCTTCTGATGTCTTCCTCAATCTCTTTCTTTATAAAGATTTAAAATTTTCATTGGAGAGCTCTTTAATGTCTTTGGTCAGGTTTATTCTGAGATTTTTTTTTTTTTTTGCAGCTATTGTGAAGGGGAGTGTTTCCATGTGCTCTTTTTTCTGATTGCCTGTTATTGGTATATAGAAAGTCTACAGACTTTTGTAGGTTAATTTTGTAACCTTCCACATTACTGAACTTGTCAATAATTTCTAGGAGTTTTATGGTCGAATTTTTGGTGTCTCTTAGATATACTATCATCTCATCTGCAAAAAGGGATAATTTGATCTCTTCTTTTCCAATTATTACTCCTTTAATTTCCTGCTCTTGTCTTCTTGCTCTTGCAAGAATTTCAAGCACTATGCTAAAGAGAAGTGGAGATAGAGGACAGTCTTGTTTGGTTCCTGATTTCAATGGGAATGCTTCCAGTTTTTGTCCATTTAGAATGATGTTGGCTGTGGGTTTGTTATATATGGCTTTAATTATGTTGAGATATACTGCCTCCAGTCCAATTCTCTCTAGGACTTTGAACATAAATGCATGTTGAATTTTGTCAAAGGCCTTCTCTGCATCTATTGAGATGACCATGTGGTTCCTGTCTTTGAGCCCATTTATATGATTAATGGTGTTTATTGACTTACTTATATTGAAAGATCCCTGCATCTCTGGGATAAAGCCAACTTGATCATGGTGGATGATCTTTCTGATGTGTGTCTGTATGCGGTTTGCAAGTATCTTGTTGAGAATTTTTGCATCTATGTTCACTAAGGATATGGGTCTATAGTTTTCACTTTTGGTTGTGTCTTTATCTGGTTTGGGTATTAGAGCGATGCTGGCTTCATAGAAGGAATTTGGGAGTTCTCCCTCTGTTTCTATCATTTTCAATAATTTAAGTAGTATTGGTTGGAGGTCTTCTTTAAATGTCTGGTAGAATTCTGCTGTAAATCCATCTGTATCTGAGCCTGGGCTT